GGAGTGACTTCCAGGACTTTGAACTCTGCTTGGAGACAATTGTGGCTACAATGTGTCATCCAAAGGGATTTTGAAGAGTTTGAGGCTGACCCTGACCCTGACCCTGACCCTGCTGACCCTCTGCCTGTTGTGGAAGGTATTGTGGCATTGGGCCGGAGGTGAGTGGCGAGGATGTGGAAGAGTTGGTGGAGGACCACAGGGAAGAGCTAAGTACTGAAGAGCTGGTAGAGCTTCATCTTGAACAGTATCAGACCACAGCTCAGGAACTTGCTTCAGAGTAGTTGGAAGAGGAAGTGGATGAGGTGCCTTCTTCAAAGCTTAAGGAGATTTGTGCCTAGTGGAATGATGTGCAAATGCTTGTGGAGAAGTACCATCCTGAGTAAGCTGAAACAAGCCATCTTTGCAACAAGTTCACTGACAGAACCATGTCCCATTTTATGGAAATCTTAAAGAGGCACCAGAAACAGAGGACTGTGGACAGTTATTTTGTGAGACAGGGGTCCAGTGACTCTCAAGCTGGTCCTAGTGGTATTAAAAGACAAAGAAGGGAAGTAACCCCAGAAAAGGACTTGTTACCTGAAGTCTTTATGGAAGGGGATTCCCCTTCCAAACACTAACCCTAACTCCCTCTCTCCTCGTCCCTGTCTTCCAGATGCCATCATCCATCTTCATTAAGGTTAGTAAAAATGTTATATGTTTATTTAAATTTTTATTAATGTATTACTAATTGTACTACTTTTGTATGTTTGTTGTGTGTATGTAAAACTATAATGTAATCTCTTTAAAATATATTTTTTTGTGAATATTTTTGAGTTTCTGGAACAGATTAATTGTATTTCCATTATTTCTTATGGGAAATATTGCTTTGGCTTTTGAACATTTCGACTGTAGAACTAGCTCCTGGAGTGTATTAAGTTCGAAACTTGAGGTTCCACTGTTTCCCATTTGTTTTAGTGCTTGCAGCTGCTAAATAAGCCACAATGGCCCCAAAGAGAGCTCCTAGAGCCAGGCCTTTGGTAAAGAAGGTGAGAAACACGATAAAATTCAATAAAGAACTCATAGCAAAGTATGAAAGTGGAGGAGGAAGAGAGAGGGGAGAATGTACCTTCTTCAGTGATTCAGTGAATCAGTGATATGTACGATACTAAAGCAGCACGAGTCAATAAAGGCTATAGCGCCAGCCAGCGATAAAGTGTAGCATTAACAGTGTAGCAAGTAAGTTAAACAATTAATCGATAGAAAAAGGACAGCACAAACCTAACTCCTCCAATGTTGTTGGAGTTCTATTGGGCTACTGACAACACCACTGCCTCCACCAATACTATGTACAGCTTATGCTCTCAGTGGCCCTTATACACCTAACAACAAAACACAACACAACTTGTGACATATGTAATGACATTTTTTATTCATTCTAGAGTATATGTCATGTTTCTATGTTATTAATATTGTTTATTATGCCATATTAGATGAATTGTGATAGATAAATAAGCCATAGAGTTAATTTTAGTGTCTTATTGAAGGACTATCTTGTCCTGTTTCCAAACACTTCCCTGCTGCTGCCAAAATTCCTACCATACGTAATGACATATTTTATTCATACACCAACAAGGGTCTTCAATAAAGGTAAGTGTGATTTTATTATTGTTTTATTCTTCATGTCTCATTGTTTTCTGTGTATATAAATCTATATTTCATATAAAAATTTTTTTTGTTAATGCTTTTGGTCTGAAACGAATTAATTGGATTTACATTATTTCTTATGGGGAAAATGGTTATGCAAATCATCAATTTCACCATTAGTCACACTCTCTGGAATGGATTAATTATGAAAAACGAGGGTCCACTATACAGTGGACCCCCGCATAACGATTACCTCCGAATGTGACCAATTATGTAAGTGTATTTATGTAAGTGCGTTTGTACGTGTATGTTTGGGGGTCTGAAATGGACTAATCTACTTCACAATATTTCTTATGGGAACAAATTCGGTCAGTACTGGCACCTGAACATACTACTTCTGGAGTGAAAAAATATCGTTAACCGGGGGTCCACTGTATATGACATTTAAAGCACCCCATAGCAGTTATTATTATTAATATGGCATCTTCAAGACTAGTGAGACACACTTAGGGATTTTAATGTGTACCTGCACACCAGCACAGTGTGTAAGTTTATTTAGGTACAGGTACGCATAAATATAATTATCAGAGTATACAGCCTCTCCTTACTTAACGATGGAGTTCCATTCCTACGACCGTGTTGGTAAACGAATTCGTCACTAAGTGAGGAGCATACTTTAATGGTAGTGGGTTTGTGTCAACTATCTTTGATATTGTTTTAATCTCATCTTTGCACCATTGATAACATTTCTGGTATATTTTTAAATGTTTATGCAGTAGTGTACTGTATATTGTAACAAACAGAATAGAGGAAATCAGCTCTAATATACATTATTTCGGTATGCATACTGGTTAGAGAGCCCATCATAAGTCCGAGTCATTGGTAAACGAGTATGTCGCTAAGTGAGGAGTGGCTGTATATAAAATACACAACTTTAAAACACTTGAAATTTTGCGACGTTTCCAGACATAATGGAGAGACATGGAGCTCGTGGAGGATGTAAATGGAGTGGTGCACGGTGACTATACATGTATTAGCGAGTCAGGTGGGGTGCGAGCCATGTAATGAGTTTTGATTATATGTACGTAATGTGAAATGTCCGTATTAGTGAAATGATGTAAAGCGGGACCCTACTGTACTGTATGTTTACAATGATGGTAAATTAGTAAGAATACCATAAATTGGTTTTAATAGTAACAAATTGTTAAGATTGGTTAACACTAGCGCAGTGATGATGACATTGAACTAATAATGTCGGCAGCAATTTTTTTAATTACTTCAATACCCATACAGTTTTAGTGCTTTGTAAATCATAAAACTCGAATCACTTTCTCAAAAAAATTAAATGACCTCAATCTTTCCTCTACCTATCATATTCTCTTTCATTGATTTCAGTATTTTCTCTCAAATGTTCATACATTCTTTCTTCTTTTTCATAACCTCATGCTCCCTATCAACCATCTATCTGGATCATGCAGAGTACAGCTGTAGCCTGAAACATCCTCTTAACACTACTGTAATATTGACTTTGATCCAGGCAACAAGAGCACTCCATTTTTTATGATACTAGAAAGCTTTTTCTTATTGAATTCTGCTAAGTGAAGAAATTAGTGGCTTCCTGTGTAATATCTTTTGCTTTGGTAGAAGTGTTCAGCAAGTAACTAAATAGGAATTTTCATTTAATTTATTAATGAAAGTAATTTGGGAGTTTGTTATTCATGAGAATCTTTTCTTTCAAGAAATTCACAAGAAGTTGCACACCAAGTCATAAATGCATCTACAACCATTTATGTTCAAGAGAGAATATGATCATCAAGATCATAAGCATAGAAAAGAAATGTGCTTTCAACAGAGACTTAAAAGCCTAATATGCTTTCAACAGAGACTTGAAAGCCTGATGCATTTTCAACAGAGACTTGAGAGTCTGATATGCTTTCAACAGAGACTTGAGAGCCTGATATGCTTTCAAAAGAGATTTGAAAGTCTTATATACTTTCAACTGAGACTTGAAAGCATGATATGTTTTCAGCTAAGACTTGAAAGCATGAAAAGATTACTGACATAAGACACTGGCAACCTGTTGAATAATCTAGGAGCCTCCAATGGTTGTAGCACTTTCTATTTCTTGTAACTCATCTCTTCTTAGTTTATTGCTATGGCCTCTTGTTCACCCTGTTGATGGTGCTGGGAATTTGTCTGTTCTTTTCCTCCTTTCAGTCAGTGACGGCATGTCTAATACCTTCAGCTTTTTAGTTTTGGTAGCCATTTTGCAGCACATTTTTTTATATACAGTACTTTTCAAATGCGAACAATGTATCATTGCTGCATATTCCCATTTTCTCTGAACCCATATTGTAAAAAATGTTTTCAGTATTTCCCCATTCATATATATATTAGCAAATTTAAAATTAGCCAGTTTCATACAGGACTCTGCTGTTTCATTTATGTTGGTCTTTTGCTGTCAGTCTTTTATCTGATGGCTTTAATATTATATTACACAATCTACCTACCACATTCTCCCTACCTCAGTGGGAGATGGCTGATGTGTTGAAAACAGTGTTCTTTGTGTGCCCTGCCTTCTTATTTTTCCCATTTGTATTACTTGGACTTTATCAACTTGAAGTTGTTAAATGCATTGTTTCATCCATGTATCGCTCCACTTGCTAAATGCAGTGCACATTCCCTCACTCCTCAGATAAAGAAGGATTTCATATATTATTGTTCACATTTATTTTTATTTTTTGGTCTTGTGTGTAGCAGTTTTATGAATAAAATGACTTCATTATCTCAAGAAAGCAATTTTTCAAGAAAATTTTGGATGCCCCTCTTGAACAATATAGAACACGTAATAATTGACCCAAAAAACAAGCGGTGGTGTTACTCTCCATTTATAGATTATGGCCATTAACAGTGTTGGTAATGGTCAATTTGTATTTTAAGACTGACTACAAATGTTCAAAATACATGTTGGCACAAGGAAAAGTTTTAGCATACCCAAACCCTTTGGTAAAAAAAAGTAGTTTGCCAACTTTAAAAAAATATTGTACTGTATTTTATATGTTCGCATTTTCTGAAAATTGTTTTAGTCTAAAAATGATTGATGGATGTTAAATGCCTTTTTTTGTAGATAATCACTATTGTAAAGTCTTGCTGTATGTTGTATATGCTAATACAGTATAAGTAGGAGTTTGTTATTTTATGGTTTGACTTGGCTTCTTTAGTATGCATATACAGTATTTAGTTAAAGTACTTGTGGATTGCCTGTGTTACTTTGGCAATTTTGCAATAATGTTTTTAAAATAGATTTTTACCATAATATAATACTGTAGTGTTTGTTTTACCATGGATTTAGTTTTAAATTGATTTGTTCTTTTCAGTGGTTTGCAGGAAATTACAGCTACCAAATAGCATTGAGTGATAGTGAAGCTGGGGTTGTTAATGTAATTTCATCAACTTCAGGGTTGTTTACCCTCATCCTTGCCTCAATCTTCCCATCATCTGTAATGGACAAGTTTACACTCTCCAAATTAGCTTCAGTTCTTTTGATGGTACTGGGTGTGGTGAGTAATGATGTTTTAATTACATGTACAACATTTGTAGTTTAGGTATTGAAATTGTAGTCAAGAACCATTAGTCAGATACCATTTTTCACTTCCCAGGCATCATTGTCTTCATATACAGGTGCTCCGACTTTACAGTATTTCAACTTTTGATGGTGCAAAAGCAGTTACTTTGGAGATGAAACTTATTTTTACCCAGCATGAAGGTGGTAAGTCTGTAACTTGTATTCATTTATTTACTTTTTAATACTGGTATTTATTTAGTTACAGGATGGAGGGAGAGGGTAAAGGAGGTTTTGTGTGAGGAGTTTGAACCTGCAGCAGGCATATATGAGTGTGTTGGATAGGAGTGAATGGAAACGAATGGTTTCTGGGACCCAGTGATCTGTTGGAATGTGAACAGGGTAATGTTTTGTGAAGGGATTTGGGGAAACCGGTTAGCCAGATTTGAGTCCTGGAGTTGGGAAGTACAGTGCCTGCACTTTAACCCTTTCAGGGTCCAAGGCCCAAATCTGGAGTCACGCACCAGTGTCCAAGAATTTTCAAAAAAAAAATTTGTTTTTTTTTCTTATGAAATCGTTAGAGAATCTTTTTGTGAAGGGTAATAAAACAAAAAGTACAAAATTTGGTGGAAAATTGACGAAATTATGCTCTCGCGAATTTTGATGTGTCAGCGATATTTACGAATCGGCGATTTTGCCGACTTTGACTCCCATTTTAGGCCAATTACATTATTCCAATCAACCAAATTCTTAGCTATTTCACTAGTATTACTTCTATTCTATCGATTGAGCACAAGAAATCATCAAGTCAACTGTTTCAACTACAAAATAAAGTGATCGGAAATTGTTAATTTGGCCAATTTAACACAAAGTTCAAAATATTCCAATTTCAAAATAGGGTCCAGAATGAACAATGTAGGCATTCCTGGCACTAAACTAACATTTCCTCTGTTCATTAGTTATGTTTTGAGGCTTTACAAATAAATTCCATTTTGATTTTTTATTCACATAATAAATTTTTTTATTCACGCCAAAAAATAGAAGATTTACTGTTATGCAATACTGTAATAATTGTATAAATATCATCACCATATTTGTGAATGTGTATTAGACCCACCAGCTGACGTGTATTAGACGTGTGAGGTCGTTTGTTTACTCTTGAATATCGGCAAAAATTTAACATTTCTGCTACTTTGAGCTCAGTTTCAAGCCATTTCCAGTGCTAAAACCAATCAAAATCATCTCTATTTCTGTAATATGTCTTCCATTCTATCAAATGAGACCAAGAAATCGCAAATACAACTATAAAAAACATACGAAAAAACACTGCATAGTTGCTGTTTTAATCGAAAAATCATGATTTCATTTTTTTTTTCTCATTATAGACAGTGTGCTGCAGGATCTGTTTTATGTGGTGCACACATACCACATAGATGTATTCTCTCATATCTAGGCCCAAATGTACCACTCACAGTTTATCAGAGTGAGCTGAGCTCATGGCGTAGATCTACGGTTTGGACCCTGAACGTAAAGCCGTAGATCTACGGGACGGACCCTGAAAGGGTTAAAAGGGTTTGGGATATTAGCTGTTTGGAGTGACTTCTAAACTGTTGCATCTGAGTGCCTCTGAAATGACAGTGATCATGTATGAATGATGGTGGCCCAAAAAGAAAAACGAAAGTTTCTCTTTCTAAATTTAGTAATATATACAGGAGAGGATGTTACTAGCCCCTTGCTCTCGGCATTTTAGTTGTCTCTTTCAACACGCATGGCTTACAGAGGAAGAATTCTGTTCCACTTCCCCATGGAGGTAAGAGGAAATAAACAAGAACAAGAACTAGAAAGAAAATAGAAGAAAACCCAGAGGGGTGTGTATATATATATGCTTGTACATGTATGTGCAGTGTGACCTAAGTGTAAGTAGAAGTAGCAAGACGTACCTGTAATCTTGCATATATATTAGTTATTATTACTTATTATATTATTATTAATATGTCTTTCAATTCTTTGTTTGCAGTTTGTCTTGACCATTTACTTGTTCATGTAAAGTCAACTACAGTACCCTAAACATAAACAATTTGGCACAAATTTTACCAAAGTCTTGCCATGTCAAAAATCATTATTTTTAGATATTACAGTGGACCCCCGGTTAAACGATATTTTTTCACTCCAGAAGTATGTTCAGGTGCCAGTACTGACCGAATTTGTTCCCATAAGAAATATTGTGAAGTAGATTAGTCCATTTCAGACCCCCAAACATACACGTACAAATGCACTTACATAAATACACTTACATAATTGGTCGCATTCGGAGGTAATCGTTATGCGGGGGTCCACTGTACTCTTCTTATTTTTGGGCAAACTTCATTATTACATTTCAGACCACCACCTTAACTTACAATAAAAATAATTGAAATTGGACTATTATTAAAATTTTTGTAGTAGAATCTTGTTCCCCCTCCTAATATTTTTGGGCCATGGGGAACCACTGATAACTGACACCGCAGAAACTGAACCTGTGGATATGGGGGTTCTACTGAATTTCACTGTAAAAGTTTTTTTTTTTTTAGTTCATTGTACAGTCTCTCCTTACTTAACAACAGAGTTCTGTGTCTAAGACCACGTCAGTAAACGAATTCGTCACTAAGTGAGGAGCATACTACTATAATGGTAGTGGGTTTGTGTTAACCATCTTTGATATTGTTTTAATGTCACCTTTCCACCATTTGTAACATTTTTGGCATACAGTGGAACCTCAAATTTCGAACGTATCACTTATCGAATGTTTAAAAAATAGAATCCTTTTTTCGAACCAACTGTGTCTATTATCGAACGCACCCCTATTTTCGGACCGCCAGGTACCGGACCTGTCCGCCAGCCTGCTCTGTCCGCGTCCTCGCGCAGGCGCCGTGAGCCAGTCTGGGTTTGTTGATGCTTGAGTGAACACTAACCTGCGCTCTCATTCAAACATTTTACGATTATTTAATTGTGTTTAGTGCTTGTGGGACTGTGAAATAAGTTACCATGGGCCCAAAGAAACTTGCTAGTGGTACCCCTGTAGTAAAGAAAGTGAGAAACACCATAGATGTGAAGAAGGAAATACAGTGGACCCTTGCCTAACGATATTAATCCGTTCTGAGAGCTTAACATTAGGCAAAATTATCGTTAGCCGAATTAATTTTACCCATAAGAAATAATGGAAATCAAATTAATCCGTTCCTGACACCCCAAAGTATGGAAAAAAAAAAAAAAATTTACCACATGAAATATTAATTTTAATACACACAAACTGAAGACATGCACAGTTACATGACACTTACCTTTATTGAAGATCTGGTGATGATTGATGGGATGGGAGGAGGGGAGACTGTGGATGGTGTTAATGTTTAGAAGGGGAATCCCCTTCCATTAGGACTTGAGGTGGCAAGTCCTTTTCCGGGGTTACTTCCCTTCTTCTTTTAATGCCAATAGGACCAGCTTGAGAGTCACTGGACCTCTGTCGCACAACATATCTGTCCATAGAGGCCTGTACCTCCCGTTCCTTTATGACGTTCCTAAAGTGTTTCACAACATTGTCAGTGTAATAGTCACCAGCACGGCTTGCAATAGCTGTGTGAGGGTGATTTTCATCAAAAAAGGTTTGCACTTTAAGCCACATTGCACACATTTCCTTAATCTTTGAAGTAGACAGCTTCTTCAATTTCTCTATCCCCTCCTCCGGAGCAGTTTCCTCAGGTCTGGCCTCTTGCTGTTGAAGATGATCCAGCAGCTCATCAGTGGTTAGTTCGTCATTTTCCTCCTCCACAACTCTTCCACATCCTCCCTACTAACCTCCAACCCCAAGGACTTCCTCAATGCCACAATGGATTCCTCAACTGGCATAGGATTCCCAGGGTTAGCCTCAAACCCTTCAAAATCCCTTTTGTCTACACATTCTGGCCACAGTTTCTTCCAAGCAGAGTTCAGGGTCCTCTTAGTCACTTCCTCCCAAGCCTTACCTATAATGTTTACACAATTGAGGATGCTAGAGTGATCTCTCCAAAACTCTCTTAGAGTCAGTTGAGGTTCTGAGGTCACTACAAAGCACCTTTCAAACATAGCTTTTGTGTACAGTTTCTTGAAGTTGGAAATTACCTGCTGGTCCATGGGCTGCAGGAGAGGAGTGGTATTAGGAGGCAAAAACTTGACCTTAATGAAGCTCATTTCCGCAGAAAGTCACTCTGCCATGTCTGAAGGATGACCAAGAGCTTTGTCTAATACCAGGAGACACTTAAGGTCTAATTTCTTTTCAATTAGGTAATTTTTCACATTGGGGGCAAATGCATGGTGTAACCAGTCATAGAAAAAGTCCCTAGTGACCCATGCCTTACTGTTTGCCCTCCACAGCACACACAAATTAGCCTTGAGGACATTGTTTTTCCTGAACACTCTGGAAGTTTCAGAGTGATACACCAATAAAGGCAATCACCACTATCATTAGCACACATCAACAGAGTAAGCCTATCTTTCATAGGCTTATGTCCTGGGAGTGGCATTTCCTCCTGAGTAATGTAGGTCCTGCTTGGCATTTTCTCCCAAAACAGGCCTGTTTCGTCACAATTAAACGCTTGTTCAGGTTTCAGTCCTTCACTGTCTATGTACTCCTTGAATTCCTGCACATATTTTTCAGCTGCTTTGTGGTCGAACTGGCAGTCTCACCATGCCTTATCACACTATGTATGCCACTACGATTCTTAAATTTCTCAAACCAATCTTTGCTGGCCTTAAATTCACTCACATCACCACTAGTTGCAGGCATTTTTCTAATTAAATCCTCATGCAACTTCCTAGCCTTTTCACATATGATCGCTTGAGAGATGCTATCTCCTGCTATCTGTTTTTCATTTATCCACACCAATAACAGTCTCTAAACATCTTCTATCACTTGCGATCTCTGTTTCAAAAACTATGTTGCACCTTTGGCAAGAACAGCTTCCTTGATTGCCGTTTTCTTGGCCA